TGTGTGTGTGTGTGTGTGTGTAGTGTAGTCAGTCAATTATATCAGAAAAAAATGGCTTGAATTTCCACTTATTTTTCAAGTGTTTCAGGTTGAAAAAGATCCAGCAACTATCTCTTTCAAATAGACACCATGGGTAAATTATCTTGGAGATCTCACTCTTGCTTGGAATTTCTATCTGGATGAGGATCACTTTGCTAGTGACATCTTACTAATTATGGTAGAAAAGTCAAGAAACAATTTCTTCATCTAGGTCCAGGGTATGAGATGGACAACTTCTGATGTGGTTCCAGAATGTTGCCTGGTCCATAATATTATTCTTCTAAAGAGAGAGGAGCTGCGCATCACCCATAGCATATGAATCACATAAGTTGGCCTCCTAACTTACAAAAGTCTTAAGAAAGACACCATTTGGCCAACAAGTTGAAGACCAGCCCCAAAGAGCAGTGCTCTCTATTGAACAGCTGCAGAATTGGAAACTCAGCTTAACTCTGCTCCATCAAAACAAACAAAGTTGGCTTCTACTACACTGGGGTGGGAGTTGAGGGGGGGACAATGAAGAGGAAGGCAAGGGAATTCTGACATAGCACAGGTTTTCAAAGGAAGGGGTGGGAGAACTTTAAATCACAATCTAAGCAGAGATAGAAGCCAAACTATTGGCTACAGTCTGAGCTTTATACGGAATGCATCTCAAGCTGGACTCTGTGCTTTCCTTTACTCACGTAAGAGTAACTCAACTGAACAGCCATAATAACCTCTCAGTTTCTAAAGTCCATTGAGCCGTGTTTTGCTTTTTATTTTTAACTATGAAAAAATGTAAAAAAAAAAGTGCTTTTGTGCAAAGTTTCTAACATTTTTATGATAACTAAATTTTAAAAGAGAGACACTCAACAATGTCACATCTCACTCTAAAAGTAGTGCCTGCCATTCTAGACTAGCATCCACATATACCCACACCAAATACATGACAAACTGGCTGACTTCAAGGGCAAATAGAAACATTGTAAACACTGCAATGCATGCTTGATCGTGGATTTCCCACCTCACTGATGCAGTGATGTGGTCGGGGAAGAGATCAAAAGTGAACGGGGATTTCATCAGACTCTTATTTATTTGATTTTCTGTAACATTGACTCATTTTTTGGCCACAAGACCCTACACACAGTTTCACAGCACAGGTCATGCATAGCTTGCAAGTCAAAAATTTTACAGCTACTGTCTAGCTATGAGCCTTGGACAATAGATTCACATGCAGCTAATGGTCCCAGAAAAGGGGGCTTAATAAAGTTCTCTTTAAGCTTCACTGCTCATTCCTTAGTCCAAAGTATCTAAGCAATAACCCCAAAGGGCAATGGATGAGATTTTATTACCACCCCTCCCCACTGGAGCCCATAAACTTCTTTAAGCTAGAAAGAAATTGCTTTTGGCAAACTGTTACTGGTCAACAAACTCTCTTGGCCTTACTGTACTTTGTGAACTTCCTGATGTCATTACGGCCAATGTGGTCACAAGCCATATGGGAATATTTAACTTTAAATTACTTAAAATTAAATAACATTTAAAAGTCACTTCTTCAGTCATCCCCAGTTAATTGTTTAACAGCCATGTGGCTAGTGGCCACTCTACTAAACAACATGGAACAACGACAGAACAGTTTCCATCAACCCCAAAAGTTCTATCAAGCAGGACTGATCTAAAAAATTCCAGGAGCTGAACTAACACACAGCTGACACTCCAACGAACCCACTCTGTGAGTCATGCAGAGGGTAAAATTTAATTCTACTTCTTAAAAAAAAAAAAGAACCTCAGATCTTCTCGATAATAAGGTGTGACTGAAATTCAGAACTAATTTGCCTTTGTCGTTACAATTTATGTCCCAGGTCATTATTCAAAATTTTTCTAAAGACGACGTATGAAGTGCCATACTTGGCTCTACTTAACACAGTAAGCATTCTCTTGCTTATGTCAAGATCATTAATAAAGAGGAAATTCATGCTTCTTATAGGTTACTATTTACACAACACTCATCATCTTTGACATTTGGGGGACAGGATCCTGGCTGATGAGTTACACTTCTAAATATTTGAATCACATGGTTTGAAAGTTTTCTTTCAATATCTATATTCATCCCTAAACCAACCCTTCTTTTCTTCCCCCAAAGGAAGCTATCTAAAAAGAAATAAATTTCTGAAACAACCCTTAAACCAATAGCTGACACAGCAAAGGGCCTCCCCAGACCCTGTAAAGGATCATAGCCTGACAGGGAAGGTGGTGTGCCTAGGGAGAATAACAGGGCACAGCAGGAAACAGGTCTTGTCTTCTCCCTATAGAATTAGAACCTACACACTACTGCTCTCTACATACCCCCGGTAAGCACATCTCCAAGAGGCTCCTTTCAGCTATAACTGCTGTACCTGCCACTGGCGTATGACTCTAAGCTGCTTGCCCCACATGGGGTAGATACATTTTTAGTGTTATGGGTAAATTCTAGAAGAAACTGAAACATCAAGTATATAGAAATTGGCAGGCCTCCTCGCCCTACCCTCTAACACAAGCACACACACACACACACACACACACACACCCTAATAATAAGCACATGTGCAAACCATAGGCAGAATCCATTTGAACAGTTTTAAATACTGTTTCTTAGACCAAGCACACATAAAAAAAAGCTTTGACTTGGGTTGTTACGGTCAGGTTGTAAGGTCAAGAGCCTACCAGGGAGCAGATCAATTTTGCTTAATTACAGTTCTAACATGGACTTTTTAAGAGTTCTGTGGGCAATTTTGCTATACAGCTTTGCAATAAAAACCACAGGACACCATATCAACACACAAGTTAGTATCTATAAATAGTCTCCTAAACTAGAGTGCTTTCACACACTGCTCTAGAGGATCAGTCATTTTCTACTGTACAGAAAGGTGTGCTGATATCTCTGACACATGAATTTAAATATGGCCTGGCTTAAAATTGCAAGAGTAACATCCATTGGAAACATAACATCCTTTATGCAACATTTCTATGTGTGTTTTTCTCCTCCAAGAGAAATAGAAAGTGGGTCAGACATGCATTAGAGCAGCCTGAGAGTTTGAGAAATTGATGCTAACCCAACAGTATACTATGTTACATAATAGAGGATAGTATTCAGCTAATGATACCTAAATTATTAATACCAAATAAATCCTAGATTATTCGTTGTATAATGCCCAATAGCTTACATGATAAAATGGTATTTTAACCTAATTTCTAGCTTGAGCCCTCAAACACATTTTTTTTTTCTAAAGGTCTTACACATTTGAAAGATTTTAAAAGGCAGAGCTCATAATTTGACGTTGAGTTTTCATGCCAATTGTGAGCTTTGTACTCTAGATGTTATTCCTTTGTTTTATTTCACTAACAAGTCATCACTTTAGCACTCGTCTGTTGGGCAGCTTGAAGATGAAGGCTGGCATGCCAATCACTGCCTCCAAGTCCCAGGACTGTTTCTGATCTTGCTCTGTAGGGCCTGTATCACTGCTTCCTTTCCTTTGCCTTTCCCATCCTTCCCATCACTTCAGGGATTCAACAGAACAGTAGTGAGGAGCACACCTGAGTGGAGTCCTTGAGAAACATCACTCGTTCCACAAACGGAGTTCAAAGAGGACTACAGCACTCACAATTCTTTCCGAATGCACACACAGCCAGGGACAGAGACTGCTCCTTCCATGCTAACAGATCTGTCTTCACGAATTCACATTTAAAAATAGTCGAGCACTCATGAGAAACTGGTTCACTTACACAGAGAACATGAATTTTTGTTCACCATACTACTTCTGGCAGTAGAAACATTTAAAATACAAAACATTTTCTTGCTGGTTCCAACAAGAAGAAATTGAATTCTAAGCAGGTTAACTCTTACAGGAAAATCTTTCAAAGAAAAGATCATCAAGGACTGTCTATTACAATACACATCTAGGTGTGCTGTTGATTAGCAACACTTGTGACTCTCAAAGCCCTACAAACTGAGGGAAAATGACAGTTCTTCTGATGCTCTGTCCAAGCCTTTACTGACACGGGATCGCTACACACAGCGAAGCGGCAAGTGGATGTTGGAGGTGATGTGTGGGGATTCCAGAACGGAAAGGTCCAGGCACAGGCCAGGAGGCTGGTGTTTTATACACCTGGCTTATTTATTCTGCACGCCCACAAAGTCTTACTCCCAGGATTCTTCAGGAAAAAGTCGAAAACCTGAGATAAGTCGAATACACACACAAAATACACACAGAGATTCACAATATTTACATTTTAAATTCTTATCTTGTGAGATGGCTTGAGAAAGATTGGCATATAGGTTTCTTGGGGAATTAGGCATTGCCCATACTTCCCTGTTTATCACTCGTCTGTTGGGCTTCCAGCTTAACAAGCATATAGCAAGCTTAAATCACAGATGAAGAGAAATGAAGGAACTTGACAAAGCACAACACACTGGAGACACGTGTGCAAATATTTTCTTCAAACAGCCATAAGGTCTGTTTTGATTATTTTGATTTGGGTGCCATTCAAAATGTATAAAAAGTTTATGAAGACCAAGGTTCAGTCACACACACACACACACACATGCACGCACACACTACACGCACGCACTCAAGCACCCACACATGTGTAAGCACACACACAAACATGCACACACGGGAGCCAGCTCTGGGTCTTCACCGTTTTTGTTTTTTAAACACGGATTTGAGGTTTAATTCTACTTGCATACATAGCAACTGGTTTAACCTACCGTCTACCATATTTGGAGAGCTATGGCACCCACGTGTACAGTTTCATGTCTAAGCAGAAAAGTCTAACTTGGGACCTTGATTTTGGAAAATCATAAACTACAGACCATTGGATACACAATTATGAGGAAGCATGCAAACATCTTCACAGCTATCACCATCTCCAAACTGTTCTCCTGGGATCTTGCCGAGATCTCTGCCCTTGTCTTTAGATGAATCGAGTGGCCAATTGCAGGCCAGCACTTGCACCAAAAGCTCAGTGTCACCCCCATCTCATCACAGGGATCCCATCACCAACACCTGCTCACCCCCTAAGTTGGCACCCGCAAGAGGCATCCCTGTGAAGGGCTTCAACCACAGGAGATCACCGTGAAGCGCTTAGAGATGCAGGACATGTTGTGGAGCACAATGCCCAGGAGGAAGACCAAAACACAGGCCACCAGGATGACAGTGCACACGCCAGACCACGTGGAACTCTTCACCACGCCCCGTCTGTCAGGCTCCTCCTCCACGGCCTCCCGGGGAGCTCCACCCTGCAGGGGCTGCTGTTCTGCAGGAATGGTCACCACGGTGAGAGACTTCTGCTGGCTCCCTGGCAGCAGGCGGCAGCCCATGTCTCCCGGCAGAAGTGTGCGCTCCTTAGAAATGGGCAGGGGCAGCATGTAGCACCCATTGCTTGGAAGTTTGATGAAGACTGGGGTGTGCTCTGAAGTGTGTGGTATGGCGATGACTGCTAAGACCTCGGGGTCATCCGGCAGCTGTGATACAGAGAAGCCTGGGGGCAACTTGGTGATGCCTCGGCACCAGGGGCACCTTACGTCCTTCTGGCTGGTCCTCATCTGCTGGAGGCATACTGAGCAGCAGGTGTGCTTGCAATCCAGTAACTTGGGCCTTCGTCGGGGGCTGTAATAATTAAAACAGATCTGACATTCCAGCAGGGAATCCTGGGAGAGTGTCTCCATGGTGGACCAAGAGCCAAGGGGCGGAGCCAAACAGGAAGTTGGAAGAGCTGGTTCTCAAATGTCACCTCTCTGGATTTGTCTTCTCAAGGTCAACAGGAAATCAGCAAGCTCTCCGGGCATCCAGCATTCACACATGTGCTAATTTCTGGGGGAGAAAAATAATGCAAATGAAACTAATTAATCCATTTAAAAACGTTGCAATGTGGATTAGTTAAAACATACAATCGCTCAAAAGTCTTGTTCCTGGGTCAAACGTAAGAAAAAAATATCCTATTGGAGATTGTAAGTTTCCTGTAATGCCCAGTAAGAAATCAAATACAATTCCTTGCCTCCCTGTAAGAATTCACAACCGGATACAGGGAGCTTTATAGAGCAGCCGCTTGCGTAAGGACAGATACTTGTTTTATGACCACTCCTTTCTTTAATTGTGTCTTTAAGCTTCGTTATTTTACAATGTCAGACAATACTACCACGAACTTGTGACGTTTCAGTACATGTTCACACTGTGTGATGAGCAAATCCCGATAGAATGAACACATCCCATTACCTCAACATTTATTGTTTCTTTTCTTTTTTCCCCATTGTTTGTGTACGTATATGTATGTGCATATGTATATGCATAGAGACATGTAGGCCCAAGGCTACTGTCAGGAGTTTCCCTCAGTTTCTCTCCAAACTCTTCATTGAGGCAAAACTCTTTGAAAACACCTGCTCCTCAGCCAGCCTAGCTAGCTTGCTCACCTGTCCCCTATCTTTGCCCTCTAAGTGCTAGGTTCAGAGGAAGCCACCACACCCGGGTGCTAGTGATGCAAGCACTGCTCCTTGAGACAGGAAGTTTATCCGTCAGCCTCCTTTGTTTTTTACTACGTGTGTGGATTACACAAAGGAAGGGGTGTCATGGTGACATTTCTAGGCAAGCAAACGGTGCACTCCTTTCTCAGGGGTGACTGAAATAACCCCACAGGCAGAAGCTCACAATGCCCATCTTTTCATCTCTTCTTCCAAACACCTTTAGTGAGACAACTCTTATCAAATCATCTTAAAGGCGGCCAAAAGAACAAAAGGAGAAGCCCTCACCAAAAGCAGGGAGTCTGTGGGTCTGGAAGCACTGCAGGCCAGCTCCGCTAAGGAAACTCAAGTCTGTTCTCTCATTTCATGATTCCTTAGGCCTGCCTGCTTGAAGGTTAAACTTGGTGAGATTTTCAGTAGTAACGGGAAAGGAATTCAGAGCTACACACATGCTAGAAAGGTGTTCTACAGAGAGTCCCAGCCCCTAGCTCCTAAAAGCAAAAACCTCACTGATCACAATTATTAGTGAAGAACTAATAGGAAGACTATATATGTTATATATAGTAAAAGTGCGTAGGCAAGTATCAGGGGATCGGGGAGATACTTATTAAAATTGAATTGAGGTTTGAGGACTGCCCCCTTTGCCCCTCAGGTTTTCAAGGAAGGCTGCCCAGGTCTGCTTCCTATCAGAAAGCATCCATAGTCTGTCTCTTTGCATGGAGTCATGATTCTGGAAAGAACTATTTACTAAAACCTTTTACATTTCTAATTTAATTTTCTTTGGGAAATAAAAAACACCCAATCACCCTCTTAGATATACACATCGTTAAAATGAGATTTTTGAGTACATGAAAAGTACCCTAGAAAGAGATAGTTTGGAGGGTAAATGTGCCAGTTACAGAGGCCTGGCAACCTCAGTTCAGATCACAGAACCCATGCCAAGTCCCCCTATCTGCAGCTGGCAGCCCACATCTGTAACACCAGCATTCTAAAGTATAGTAAGACCGGAAGCAGGGACAGAACTGGCCAGAAACATGAGGCCAGCTAGCACACAGCACGGTAGTGGAAACAAGTGGGACTTTGCCTCAAACACGGCAGGAGGATCTTTCTGAAGGAGATGCACAATAGACATACACTACAAAAATTAATCACTGATAAAATTAAACAATTAAAAGAGAAACATATTTGTGTTTTAAAAAGCACCTATTTTGACATGCTACTAAAACTAAAATTAACAATGCAACATTCTGAAAGTCCATATCAGAATCAACCACATCTCCAGTCACTGATCTGAGGGGTCTATCACGTACAAGGAGGATCTGTTGTCCAGCACTGTGTGAGCATACACATGTGTGTGAACATATCCCTTCATGTGTGTTCACATGCATGTGGGAGTCACAGGAAACCTCCAGGGTCATTCTTCAGTCACCTTCCACTTTTTGTTTTGAGAAACCATTTCTTATCGGCCTGGAATTCCACCAACAGTCTAGACATAGCTGGCTAGTGACCTGACAGGACCCCTCCTACCTTTACCTCCCAGGTGCCTTCACTGAGATTAGGAGCTGGGGTTTTAGATCTGTCTTTGTAGCTAAGACCTAGTATCTGCCTACAGATAGTCCCAACTTAGAGCTGGGAGCTGTAACTATGTAAGCTTTGTTATACTGTATCAAAAAAAAAAGCGGGAGGAGTCAAAGATGTCTAGGGAAAAATCTGAACTCTAGAGAATTCAGACGCATGCAAAGTAAGAGGCTAGGCAGGGTGTTGTCAGGTTAAGAAAACAGCGTGAGCAGAGAAAACAACAGCATCCACGACCTAGTGATTCCTCCATCTCCCACGTTAGAACTTGATCTAAGTACTGGGGTGACTTACAGGTGTCTTCTCAAAGAATTTTACAGCTTTATCCTTCTGTTATGTTTGGTCTTTGACATAGTCAATTTGAAGGAAAGAAACTCCAGCTCAGCACCAGAATGTTTCCCTAGCATGTGGCGAGCCCTGGACTTAACGCCCACGATCACCAGTAGATAAATTAGGGGTTGAGGAAATAGCACTGATAGAGTGAAGTCCCAGGTTATCTCCAGTATGGCAAAGATAAGATAAATAAGTTACTTCTCATAACGCCTATGCTCTGAGTTCTCTTCCATAGGCCAGGAGAGCAGACACCACAGGGAAGGAAGGCAGCACAGGCTATAGACTGAGGACTGTGGCCAGCAGCAAGTGCCAGGCATGAGGCTTTATAGAAGGCAACAGAAAAACACTGAAAAGTTTAAGAGTAAGACCGATCCATCTGGGTCAGGTGAGGAAGATCTGAGAACAGACTATCACTGAGAGGACCCATGGCTTCAGTAAACACGATGTCGATGCAGTGTGCTGAGGAGTTTTATGGACGTTGACACAAAAAAGCGCAGCCCTCATCTGAAGAGGAATAAGGGGTAGTTCATTCTGAAGCCATTTTGAGTGACCAGGGCCTGGGATCACAGATTTAGGTTACCCCAAATTCCATATTTCAATGTGGAAAGAGTTTTACAGTTTTAAAGAACAAAGCAAGTCATAAATAGAGGTAAGTTTAAAATACATTGGGGGCCACATCAGAGAGGTGGGTACAGCAGACCATAGTTTGCTCCAACCCACAAACTAAGAATGTCATCTTAGACCTACCGAAAAGCTTCCTCTATCTTGTTGTAACTGCTTCTCTATCATGAGAGGAGTCACAGGATGTTAGTTCTCACACAGGTGGGAAAGGAATGGTTGTTTCAGAGCTACAGCTAACCTAAGGTAAGGTTATTAGCCTCTGGATGACCTGTAACATTCAAACTCTTCACAACACTATACTTCTAATCTGTTTATCAGATTTTTGCAGCACTTGCTTTCCATTCTTCCCAGGTGGCCCCTTCTATCCTTGTGAGCCCCCCCCCAAAAAAAAACAAGTCCAATTTGTGTTTTCCATATACTCATTGGAGCCTAGTCAAAATCCCAGTGGCCACCATCTGCTTAAAGAGAACTGAGTTCTTACTCGCATAGAGTAGGGTCGGGCAATGAACAGCAAGGAAGAGGTCACAGTATAAAGAAGTCAAAGCAAAGCCTTGAAAGGGACACCACTGTGTCACTGAGAGAAAGAGGGGTGAAATGCAATGAGTGTGCTTAGAATATATTACACAGCAAGTTCCAGGAGGGCATTTAACCACAGTGGGAAAGTCAATACAGGACACAAGAGAAAGGGGGACAGTCACAGGAATGTGAGCCACAGGCTCAAGAAAGAGCAAAGTGGGTACAATGCTCCAGAATGGAGATACAACTTCCTGGAGAGGTGGCCACTGCTTTGTGGGTAGTCTCCCTCTGCCCTACACAAGGCCACTTACCCTTCCTATGCCTCACCTTCTAAGAGAAGCCACACCTAAATTATTATAGTGCTAACTGCTGAAGAATCTTTCTGTATAAAACCCCTAACATGGAGAGCTTCAAATTATATCAGAGCAGGCCACTGTCCTCATTCTCATATCTACTTATCCAGAGCCTGTCGATTGCTGTGAGGTTGAATTTGCAGAGAAGGGACGTTTGCTCAAAGAACTATAGGAACAAGCTCCAGGAGGTCAGGTTTACAGAAGCACAAACAAGAAAAGGGACACACATGCCCTTAGCAGGGAAGAACTTGGGGTCTTCTTGCCTTCTTACCCCTTGCCTCCTTTTTTCTCTCTCTGGAAAACAAAACAAAACAAAACCTTTCAGTGCCTGAGCTACCCATGAAGCTTTGAAGGCAATAGCCTTGCCGTCTTCTCAGGATGCCTGCCACCAATAAACCTTGCAACCTTCCTTCCCAAAGTTTTGTCTGCTGAGCACTGGCTTTTGACTGGTGAGCAGCTAGATGTGGATCCAGTAACACTCCTTCCGTGTACCTGGGATAATTACATTATTTTTCTAAAAGAAAGAAAAATCAAAACTCCCCAAAGTGTGTTGATGAATCACACACTTAGGCACTCTTAATGTCTAACTCACTGACATAGATCAAGCCATAACAGGGCCCATGGATGTAAATGCACACATGGAGAAAAGAGTAGCATGACCCACAGATTTAAATATATATACAGGGAAGGAGAGGCTACTTTGAGCTATGGTAGCAGAAAAAAAAAAAACACAGGAAACTATTAAAATGACAGATGGCTGAAATTTTATGAGAGACCATTTCTTAACAACTATACCCAACAACACACCATCATTGTAAACACAGTTGGAGACATGGTATCAAACCAAATATGTCAATGTAGTCATTAGTCTTCCCCCCATTTTATTTACCTCATCTTCTAAGTAATGGCTTGGGGAATAGTATAATGACTGAAAAACAAGGTGGAATCAGTCTCCTTT